CGTACTACGTTCGTCGTCGTACGACGACGACTACTACTACTAGTAGTAAGTAGTAGTAGAGACGATACACACACACACACACACACACACACACACACACACACACACACACACACACACACACACACACACACACACACACACACACTAGTAATATTGTGTTTACATTACAATAACAGAATATGTACTTCTTAGTCTTATTTGCAAGAAATATTCAAGTATTTTTTATTTCTTCAAAAGAATACTAAAGGAATCTTATTTTTGAATATATACATTTGTATAATTTTGCTTAATTTATTTCTTCATAATGTATAAAGATTGATAAATATCTGGTTACCTGTTATAATTTTCCAATTGGAATACACTACACATGTAACTACGAGCTAGTTTCAAAGTGAGTTAGTGGACCATATGCACTCCCCCATTAAACAATACAACCACATTTTGAATTATTCAGAAAATAATAGAAATAAATGTTAATATAAAAATAAATTATTCAGTATCATTGCATGTATTATTAAACACGTATAGAAAGTTAAAAAAGGGGGTGTACATTTTAATTGCTAAATAAATAAGGTATGACAAGCATTTCACCATAAGGTCAACAAAAAAAGTATTTTTATTAAGTCCATGTCTGTTTCCAGGAACTACAAAGAACTACTGTTTGTATTACAGTTCATAGCAGTGTTTTTTGTTGTTTTTTTGGAAATGAAAGACAGTGTGAGTGTACATGTAGGTCACTTTGTAACAATTAAGTCATCACTCTGAAGAAAAAATAACATTACCCATATTTTTAGAAGTGAGATAAAAGTTTCAGAGCTTTTAAATAGCTAAAAAAAGGTGTCATTAAAAAGAAAGATAATATTCTTGACATTAATACTGTTTGTGCTTTAATCATATTAATAATGATTACTGCAGTTGAATTAACATTGCCAGAATATCCTTGGACTACAATCTATGTACAAGTAATTAATATTTATTGTTTAATAGGAAAAGCTATCGTAAACTTTGATGTATTACACCTTTTTTAGAAACACTTGGATAAAAATATTTATTTTTTATAGGTTTTGTGTCCTGTTCATTGACTAACCCTATTTGGCTTGTAAAAACAAGACTACAGCTTGATCAAAGGTATGAAAAAAACATATAAATAATTTTATTAATCCCCCCCCCCTCCATCAGACTACAAGTTTGTGTAATTATTAGCTGGTAGAATATGTGTAGAGTTTGTATGTGAATCTGTAATAAGCTTTCTCCCACACCAAATACAAGTGTTAAGAATTGAAGCTGATTTTGTTATGGACTGAAAATTGTAACTTAAGTTATTAACTTTATCATTACAATAATATTTTTCATGTACTTTTTAATTATAAATGTGACTTAAAACCCCATATTTTACATAGCAGTTCTTCTCTGAGTGCGAGTAGTTACCTACTGTGTTGGACAGGATCATTGTGTACATGGGTGGGGATAAACTTTGAAATTAGAATTAGCCAATATTTACTAATGCAAGCCCTTTTTTTTAATAGGACATCTGGAACTGTCTCAGCAAGAACCTGCATCCAAGAGATTTATGGTACTGGGGGTATAAGGGGATTTTACAAAGGACTAAGTGCATCTTACTTTGGTATCTCTGAGACTGTAATTCACTTTGTAATATACGAGTTTCTAAAAACAAAACTGCACAAATGCTCATTATGGAGGAAAAGAAACTGTTATGACCCAGATACTAAGTCTAGTAGAGATTTTGTTGAGTGCATGATTGCAGGAGGAATCTCTAAAACCTGTGCATCATCAATAGCATACCCTCATGGTACGTGTTTATTGGCCTAGTTCTACAGCAAGTTACTAGTTTCTAAGTATATACATGACTAGAGGCTCTTTGATTTTTAAAGTCAGTTTTATATGTAGGTGTAGATAACAATAAAGCATCAATCCAGTGATTTAAATTAATGAAATGGATTATTATAATTAAGGAAATGTTACGTCTCCGTTCATTAGTTAATTTTCCATAAATTCGTTCCGATGAAACTTTAGCGACACAAGTCCTTTCTTAAATAAAACTGGTTTATTCTTTCTGAATATAACTTTGCGATACACTTAATTTCAACAGTCGCGCTATAACAACGAACGTCTCACGTGCTCAACTTCAATAATACACACTCTTTGACTGCAGTTCA